TATTCCATACGGATAACTGTAAATGACCGGCTAATTAAATGAATTGAAACGCAAATAAGTTAAGAATTGCACCTTGTGCATCGGGAGAGACAAATGAACTGAAACATGCAAAAGCTAAGACTCCGATAAGAAGGTCCATCAAACTATTTGTAGCAAGTGAGAATCTGCTTGTGAGCTATCACCAAACTTGATTAGCACTTAGCACATCGCCTAATACGTAGGTATGAACATCCCCGAAAGTGCTGTAAGGCTTCAAATAGCACAAGTTAAACGTTATTTTGGCCCGTGCAAGGTAAAATTTTAATATCAAAAAAAAAAAAGGGAATCAATAAACAGAAAACCAGAGACATTAGCAAGATATTACAATTTAGAGATATCCACAGACATCTAACTTTAACCATAGGCTCAGTTCTACACTGGATTAAACAGATTTTCTCGGGAAATCAATGTTTAATTATCTTATCCAAGCAACTTGTGAAAATAAACCATGTTAATTGTTGTTCATACACGGAAAAGTCGTGATTTTTCTCTGAAACAGAACAATAACAGGTCATGATCATGGTGTGCTGAATTCAGTCATTCATTACAAATAAATGGTGCTCACAATTGTCTTCAAGATAGTCATTTATTCTTAGTTTTGCACCAAATATCAATGAGAAACACAATAAACAGTGGGAAAAAATTCCTGAGTAATAAAGATTCTTGGAACCTCAATAACTAGGCAATAAATAAACCACAAATTATAGAAATAAAACTACCAAATATTCCTTCATTGTAATAAATTAACAATCCAACATTTCAACTACCAGAAATTTCCATTCATGTGTAGCTAGAGAAACTTTTAATAATCAAGTTTCCTTCAAATCTTTATGTCCTTACAATTAATAGCAAAAATCCCCAAGAAAAAAAAAATACCCACATATAAAAGCTCAAATCTTTATCACAATAGCTGAGGGAAAAGAAAAAAATCCATTATACCAGCCACAAATTCAAGAAATCAAGCATAATAATAATAAAAAAAAAAAAAA